GAGAGAGAGGGTGACAGGGGTGCAGCCAGGCACGAGCCAGCACTGATACGGGGGCTATATCGGATGTGAAACAGCTCCCCTGTGCTCCAGGGATGAGACCGACGGGCAGGTGGGATCTGTCCGGGAACGCTGGCAGCAAAACAGAGTTAAATTCCAGCGTTCAGCAAAATCCTTGGAGTTTGGCCATTAGGTACCACAAACCCAACCGAAGTCGCAGCAGAGAGAGGTCTTACCTACCCGGAGGTGTGGGGAGAAAACAAGGAGAAAAAGAGAAGACACCGAGCTGTGATCCTTCCTTGGAGGAAATGTTATTTTAAGTCATAATAAAATAATTGCAAATGGTTTCTGGTTCTCTTTCAGATGCTGGGAGCTTCTCTGCGTTGTGTGACGCGGTTTGTGTATGGCTTGGGTGTAGCGACGTGTTGGTGACGCAGCAGGCTCTGAACCCCGCTGTCCCCTCTTCCCTTGCAGTCCTTGTACAAACAAAACTGAGCCGGTGGTGCCAGAAGAGGAGACGGTAAAAATAATCCAGGTAATCACAGACAGGAGCGGAGATACCTGAACCGGTGAGCGGTGGCTTCAGCCACTTCTGTCGTACAGAAAAGACGCCGGGTGGGAAAGCGGCTCCTGAGCCAGATGGGGTTCCCGGCGCCTGGTCACTCTGTAGTTTTGTCTTCTACAAATCTGCTTTTGAAACCCTGGCTCTCGTGACAGCCACCACATCCCGTAGCACGTTGTACCTCCCCTGGGGCTTTGCTTTTCCCCTACAATTCTCTTGGTTTGGTTTGTTGTGGTTGTTTTTTTTTTTTTGAGGTCCCTGACTTGATACACCGAGATGCTGCCAGCAATCCATCCCCGCTGGTCTTCCCCATCCTTCGGGACTCTGTCGCCTTTCTTCCCAACACAGCCTCCCCCAGCTGTGTACTTTGAGGCTGAAGGCATCTTTGTCTATTCAGGCGCTGGATTTCCTCTGCTGGTTTCTCTCTCAGCCCCTTGACATTATGACATCTTGCTACAGGAATTTCCTTCCATTCTTACTCCTGCTGTTGCAACGCAGCCCCACCAGCACGTGGTTTGGCCCCGCTGCTCCTGCCAAAGGCTGCTCCACCGCTAATGTCAATAACCTGCTCCTCTGTAATTTGCTCCAGGCGTTTTCTTCTCTCCCTAAATCTCTTGCAGACCTGTTTGTTGCTGCTTGGATATCAAGCCAGGCTTTCCAATCGCCCCTGCTTTGCTCCTTGGAGGTTTCCGTTTGTGTGGAAGCACGCAGATTCGGGGGTTTGATCCCCCAAAGCATCTCCGGTCTGTTTGATGGCTCTCTCGTGACACCTCGTTCCTCTTCAGAATTCAGATAGCAGCTCCTCTGAAATGCATGGGGGCATCAAACACGCTTCATGAATTGCGTTTGTTCACTAGTCTCAGTGAGAACCAGGGTTTTTTTTTTGTAATTATATCTTTGGTCCCTGGGTTCAAAGTGCAATCCTAACAGCACCTGCCCTCGCTGCTGTAGATAAGGTGCTCGTTGGCGGCTGAAGAGGTGCAACATCACCAGCTAAGGGAGGCTAAAATGCTGCGCCCCACAAGTTTTGTGTAGACCCCAACTGCTAAGACCGCAGAAAAGAAAGAAGTATTTGGTTACGAGGCCAGAGGAGGGATTGCAGAAGTAACTCTGCCCTTGAAAGCACCATCAAGTACATCAGGGCAGGATGAGTACAGCTCCCTCGTAAACACCCTCATAAACCCAGGACTTTGAATCCCTCGCTATGAAAGCAGCACTTCTCTTCCTGTAGATGAGAAACGGGGGGCGGGCAGAGGAGAGAAACCAATTTCTCAGGCAAAAAGAGCAGCTTGACCTAAGGAACGCAGAATGCGATGAGGGGGGAACTGCTATGCCAAAAGTCAGACTCTCACTGGTACCTCTGTATGAGCTCCTCAGTCTGCGTGCTTGCTGACTCCTAAGGTCCTTGAGGTGCAACTGAAGGCTGATGGTCCTACCCCAGAACATCATCAGGCTGGGAAGTTGCCACCTGAAGTGTAAAGTCAGCAGAAATCAGCAGTAACTGGGGGAAAGGTAAAGGTGGCAGGGGGAGATTGCAGCCACTGACTCAATTCAAGACCAAAAAGACTTGTCACGCACCCCCTGTAAGGAGCATGTGTGCTAATTTACATGGTAAGTGAGGCTAATTTAAATATAACCAGCCAATATACAAATGATGGTGTAATTACTGATCAATAAGTGTAAATTTGGGTGGGTTTTTGCTAATCAGGTAACAGGATAAACATGCTGTAGTTTTTGAGGAGTTGAGCCAGCTTTGTGGGACATCACCTGGCCTCTCGGCTTTGTGCAAACCCATAGTGAAAGGAATACCTTGACCCTGGGTGACTTGGCTTGCACGGTGGGTGAAGATCCCACTTCTTGGGACAACATTCTTACTGCTTGTTGATGCTGAGGTGTACGTGCCGTAGGTGAAAGCCCTGGCGGGGAAGGAGGAGCCTTCCTCCTCACGGCTGCGTGCAGATACCCGGGAGCAGAGCCATGGACCACGGAAGGGGTTTGCCGCTGGCTTAGGGGCAGGAGCTGGGGGAAGTCCTTGGTGCTCACAGTAAGGGTGGCCAAGGCTGCTCCCACGTGGCACGTGGAGGTCCGGACATCCCAGCTGACAACATCCAAACCCAAGACTGTTTCTTCTCACTCCTCCAGCTTCAAAGCACCCCAGGCGCAGGATACAGCAGCCCCAGCCGAAATCCCACCCATGCCTCCAGTGCAAACAGAGGAGGAAACGCAAACCTGTCCTGGTGAGACACCCCCAGGGAGGAAACGGCATCCCTCACAGTTCCAAGGTGAAGCTCAAGTCTAACCCCCCAGACCTGATTCCTTGGGAGCAGAGGGGGAGCCTTTATTTGCCTCCCAGATGGACGCGCAGAAACGCTCCACCACGCTCCCGTTAGCAGCAGCCGAGGTGCTTCCCTCCGCATCCCGGAGCGAGCCGAGATGGATCAGCTCCGAACCTGCGGTATCAGAGGAAAAGGAATCTCTGCCTTCCCTGCGTGCTGAAACGCAAGAGGAGTCGTGGTCACCGGCAGTACTGGCAAGGAGGCTGTCTCCGGGGCCGCGGTGCAGCCTTCCCACATGGCCGTACCTCGGGGCAACAAGGGGCAGGAGAACCGGCTGTGTGCCCAGGCCCAGGTACAAACCTCGTGCTGGCACCTGCCAGTGTCAAACCACAAAACTTTGCTCCTGCGAGACACAGATGTGGGCTTAGGACCTCGAGCAGGCTGCATCCAAGTAAGAAAAATTTATTTCTGATAAATTTCCCCTGGCCAGAGATGGGCTTTGCTCTGCTTCCAAATTTCCTTTTTAGACCAGAAAGCCAGCAAGAAGCTACAGGACAGCAGCAGGGTTACGTACAATTTGTGGATTCAGTCAAAATTTAGCAGGGATCTCCATTTAGTTTTCATTCCCCTGCAGAGCTACAAACACAGAAATGGTTTATAGCATGGGAACGCGTTACTGCGTGGCTCAGTGCGGTGGCTGCCGGCCAACTGTTCGGGGGAGCCCTGCTCCGCGAGAGCCTGGTCTTTGCCCAACAGCAAACTGACCCACTACAGTAACTCCTTGGCACGCTGGCCTGGCACAGGGAAAGGCTTGGCGTGGGACCGTGGGCAGCAAACACGCATGAGAAGGTGGGAGGGAGAGAGCAACAGCCCCTTTCATAGAATCATTCGGGCTGGAAGGGACCTGTAGAGGTCATCTAGTCCAACCCCCCTGTGGTGAGCAGGGACATCTCCAACTAGATAAGGTTGCTCAGAGCCCCATCCAGTCTGACCTTGAATGCCTCCAGGGATGGGGCTTCCACCACCTCTCTGGGCAACCTGTTCCAGTGCTTCACCACCCTCCTTGTAAAGAATTTTTT